CTGCAAAGGAACAAGCTTAATTTAGTTAAGCCACAAGGTTGAGTGAAAAATAGCATGTTGCTGTTATTGTTTAGTCAATTAAATTGTCCTCTGCACTCTCAGGAACTGTTCCACATTTATTACCAGTGAGATACACACTCTGGCAGTGTTATTGAATTCCTTGCTTTGGATTGTCTTATATTTAGCACATCTAAAGATTTGAGAATGAATGATGGAAGACACAGTGATAAATTGTAGAGCTTTTCTAAAGATTCAGAAGTTCTAAAGTTCCTGCCAGTGACAGATGGTCTATCCTTACTCATCGCTTGTCTTCCTGACAGGACTTGATTTTCTTTTTCCTCTTTTGCTCAATCCCGTTACAGTAAGCCTAGCTTCTTGGGATGTGGAATAGTTTCATTTGTTCTAATTATATGATTATATATCGAAGAGGCATCAACTCTGTATGAACATGTACTATGCTCTTTTTACATTATTAATATACACTTGTATTATGATAAAAGAGAATTATGGGGTAAGAGGGAGAGAAGAAACAGATTACCAAAGGGAATCCATACTTCCATTCCTCCTGTCATTTTGATAACTAAATATACTAGAGTCCCCATTGGATAGGTTTTATTTCTTACTGATTCGCTACTGTCTTTTGATAGCCCACGCATAATATGACCCTTTAGATAGTGTTTCTTATTCATTATGGTAATAAATATTATTTTCAATACCTTTAGTATTTCATAACAATCTAAAACTTTTCAAAATTTTTGTTTAAAAAGTACCAGTGCTTACTAACTTGTAAAATATTGATAAGAATCCACATGTGAGACCAAGTAACTATAACAAAGAAGTGCTTGGATATGATATAGGCTCCAAGAGGAAAAAAAAGGTAAATTTCAGTCAAATTGCTTAATTTCTTTCATAGATTTCAAATGTGTTTACGGCTAAAGTAAGAGATGTTCTACTTACATAAGGAAGGTAGGAAAAGAAAATAATTTTTCTGTGGAAATAAATATAAAGGCTTTAAAAATTCTAGGATTTCTTAAAATAATTTCTAAAATTCTGAAGTAATTCAGTCCTTTAAGTTAGTAATGCCGTTAGTTTCATACAGCATTGCATAAGCCCAAGTGTTATCAAGTGGAACGGGATTAATATTACTAAGAAATATAAAAATAATTAGATGAACTAATTTGGGATTCATAGTAGTTAGTTGTCTTTTGTTATCTATACAAGGAGCTCAGAATTTCTTTTTATGTAGATATGTCTCTGTAGAATGTTCACTGTGTGTTAGCTCCATTTGATATGTGAGAAGCATAACCAACATTATCACTTTTTTATCTTTTCTTTTTTTTAATTCTACTTCTACTGCAAGTTTTAACCTCTCTGAGGATACATGTATATGTGTGTATGTGTGTGTGTATGTGTGTGTATCTTACTACTATACGCACACTAATCATTAAAGTGAAAAATCTCAAAGCCTGCTAGGTTTCCAAGGTCTAGGTTATTGACCTCCCAGTGATCTTTTCATGCCTCTTAATAAATTCTCTTTCCATTTCTGATATCAGTTACCTGTTTAATCAGTGGCTTTTTAACATTGCTCACTTGGTAACATTCAATTACAAAAAATCAGAGAACTCATGCCAGCTCATTGGTTATGCATGAAGATGTTAACCTAGACCTAAGGAAATTATAGCCTTCTTTTAGTGGACATTTTCTCAGATAATAAATGGAAGCATTAACTTTCCTAATACAACATTACAACCAAAAATTTTCAAACTTCTTTAAAACATGGTGTCACAGTAATAGATAGATTTTAGTTATGCATATTACATATAGTTTAGTATATTATTAAAAAGATGAGACATGTCTATCTTTTCATTTTTAAGTACTTTCTAGTATCATTTGTTTTCCTTCTCCAGAGAAAAATGTGTTTGTTAAAAAAAAAGTCCTAAATATTCAACATTCATGAAAAGGCCAACAAATATTGCATGATTTTGAGTTAGGATTAGAAAAAGGTGCATAGCTGAGATTAATAAAAATGCTTACCATTAAATAAGATGCGCTGGATTACTCAACAAATAGACCTAAAATGTAACGTCCCAATATGACAGAGGTTTATTTCGTGTCAGCCCAGTGCCACAGCAGGGAGTAGGGGAGAGGGATCTACTCCGTGCACTAGAGATATTGTGGCTCCCAAAGTCCTCTGGTTGTGACCTCACTATCGCAGTAAGCTGGAAGAGACAGAGCAGACACAAGCACACGAGAGGTTTCAAGGGTCGCGTTTGGAAGTGGCACACATCACTTCTGCTCACATTCTGCTAACTTGAACTCACTCATATGGCCTCGTAGTTCCACCCTGCAATGAAGGATGGGAAATGAGGCCTTGTTTTGTGTCCTGGTAGAAGGAGAGAATAGATATTGATGATCAGCTAGCAGTTTCTACTACATGAATCCTAAATTTTGCTTAAAAATTGAGGTGAATTCAAGCTACTATGCTATTAATATCGTCTAATTTCTCTGATAAACTTGGTATCCACTCACTTTTTCTTAGGGAAGAGTATTTTTAATTTTATTTAGTAACCTAAATTGTAGAGATGATTGGGGACTAATAATTTTAGAATAGTCACTCTCACAGAGACCCCGTAGGAGACTTGAAAGCTTGAAAGTCTGTTAAAGGTTTCAGTAGACCTTTTCATTGAAATGCACATTGAAACATAGGGGTGAATTTCAGCTTACTCATACTAGGGTTCACAGAGACCTGGTGCTCACTTGTGGTAAAGAGCCCCCAAAGTAGAACATGAAGATAAATGGTTTATCTATGTATCTGCAGCAATTACTAATACTTTTTTGCTTGTAACAAATTTATACTGCTAAAATATCTTGTATTTTAATACTCATGAATAAAACCAAAGGTAGGAAAAAGAGATTATTTCCCTGCTGACCTAAGCAAAGGAGCGTAGTAATGAGTAGCGTGCAATGAGTAGAATCATGGCCTCAGATGAGAAATTTGCCTTTCTTCTTTACTGAAACACAAAATCAAGCCCTGTGCCTTGATACCACGTTATCTTTTTGCTTGAAAATTTATTTCAAGGTGAAGAGTGTGAAAGATGAGTAAATTTTATGTTTTTGACAAATTACCAATAAATTACATCATAATTCTTAGCTTCTACTTAGTTCATAGATGCTGTTGCACAAGACAACTTCTTACTTAATAATTTCTACAGGTAATGCAGAGTTCTCATAGATTAAGTTTTGTTTAATTTGGTCACATGGTACAGATTATTTAAACGAGGACAATTTAAACTAAATTGAGTCATCACTCTACTACTAATATTGCTTCAGAAGTACTTTCAATCTATACTGCCTATATCTTGATGTTAACTTCTTTTTTCTTTGAATTCTTTCTGTTTCCATATTTTAGTTGTGTTTTTTCCCCATGTGCAGCATACTTCTTTTTATTTTGTCCATAAACCTACCTTCCTTATATGTGAGCCTCTAGTTTGTAGTCTTTCAAATTCTAGTGGAGTTCCCACTTATTTTCTAACACTTTTCAGTATTGGTGATTTGTCTTTAAGGTGATTGAAGAAAAATACTCAGAAAATTAGAAACAAAGGTTACCATTACTGGTATAAAGATTTTTTTTTTTTTTTAGCTAAAACTGAAAACTGCCATGGGGCATGTTTTCTACATCAAGTTTCACCTATAAATTGAGCATGTGTATATTACAAAAATGATAATAATTATAAACCTTAAAAATAGGTAATATATCCTCAATAATATTATCCACTGATAATGCAGTATCTACACACCTCTGTAAAGTCATAGGGACCAATGTGATATATATTAGAATAGTATGAAATTTATAAAAAATTTAAAGAATAAATATTCTGCAAATAATTATATACTTTGAGAAGACATTGAATTACATAACAAATATATTTCCAATCATATTTCTTGTGATTCAACACACTTTTTAATAGGCATTTGTCAGTAGGACAAAGTAACCACCAGAATGCAATTCACACTTTATAACAACTCCTTGCTAGTTATTAGAAAGCATCTTCATTTGAAATTTAATCTCTCAGTATTATTGCTAAAAATAACAGAATAATCCCTTACAAAACAGTCTCACCTATTATATGTCTATGGCACGAATCATAAGAACATGTCTTAGAATATGCATAGTAAGATTTGATAGAACGGAAACCTCAGTACAAAAGCTACCCCTGCTTCTCACTCACATGCATCCACACACACACACACCTGAGGCTTACTTTTTTGGCTTAAGCCAAGAATCATTTAGAATAAATATGTCCAAAGTTAGTCAGCCAAGATTGCTATCCATATATTGTTTGCTCTTTGTTTTACATAAATTTTATTTCTTTTTATCTTATGAGCAATCTAAAAGCTACTAAATTTTCCTGCCCATACTTTAATGCTAATATGATGTTTATTGCTTTTAGTATTTTACATTCAAATAAATTTAGAATTGGGTAACCTTAGAATATATATGACAAAGATTTTCAGGAGAACATAGAGCAGTTTATTTACTCAAGACAGTAGCAAACATATACAAAGGGGAAATATCAGAAAATAAGCATATTATGTTAGAGACAAATTTTAGAGAGCTATGTACTTAGATATTTATTAGGTAGATAATAAAATGTCATCAAAGTTTCTTTGTAATAGGGATGTGATTTGAGATTTGAACTCTACTCTCAGTCTAATCACAAAACAATATTATTTATATTTTTTTTTCTATTGAAACCTAGGGTTTTCTAGGCTTTTGTTGAATTACATTTTCAAATTTAATTAGGAGGACTACAATGCATCTACGTGTCAAATACAAATGCTTCTACAGTGTTTTACTAATAATTTTCCATCTTCAATTGAATAACAAAGGCCTTTCTAACATGTGCTTCATTTTTTGCCATTTGCAAAGTATATCCATTTAGTTTGGTTTGTTTTGCGTGATTAATTTTGACTGACAGCTGGTTTGTTTTCTGTTCTAGGTTGTGGAGACGAATTTGGTTGCTTTTGACTGTCACTGGATCATTATAAATGAGGTAAAGCCAACTAAACCCTATTGTCAGCTCTGTGATCTGTTTTCATACATATTGTCACAGCATTTCCTACGGCCTCAAATTTTTAAGAGGAAACAGAACATGAAGTAAACTTTCAGCTTACTGAGTGAATGCTGTTAAATAAAGCAGAATACAAAGTTTTTAAAAAGTATAAAGGGCTTCGTATGAATAAAATAAATGGAGAAAGTCTTCCCCACTGAGTATCTTTTAGCTTTTTCTGTTTGGCACGTACTGCCTTCTTAGGGAGATCATCTTTATAAAAAGTATGCTTCCTTTTTGTAAGCAAAGTGAATTTCTCCCAGTGGAGTGCTCGTGTTCCGTTTATATTTTAATGTTGTTTCTAGAACTTTTATATCTACCCCGCTTCCGTGAGGATTAAATAGTTCAGTATATGAATATGAATAAACAGAGAACAGATTTTTCCCTTTTCATAAAGAAGTACAACTGTTTTAAGATCCACAGACTTGTCAAATTCCATGTGAAAGTCTTGATTTTTGCAAAGATAATACATAAGATTAAAAATATATTACAGCCCAAGAGGCCTGTGAAATAAGTTGTTCTGTTAGCACCTATTAGTCAGAAACAGAAAGGACAATGAGCAGATCAATTTTGGACAAATAATATGATCATACGGATTTGTCCTCAGCAAGATATAATATTCAGTCATACCCATTATTTATGAATAAAGACAAGGCATTATTTATCTATGATAATAAATATGGAATTATAGAATGATAAGATTTTTTTTATGGACAAAATAGTATTTTGGGTAAGAATTCTGGTTTTGCAGTCAGCAAGATAGGTTCAATCTGACTGTAAAATTTGTCAGCTTTGTTACCATGGAAATAATCTTCCTGTGCTTCAGTTCATTAGTTCATATAATAAGAATAATAACATTTACTTTACAAGTTCATAATGCAAGTTAAGTGAGATATTATCTAATGCTCTTAGCACAATGCCTGTCGAATAATATTCATGATATTCAGTCAGTGATACTGCAAAAATGATATCACATTAAAGTTCACAGATCACTTTCTCATACATTTCATACATTATTTTGTTGAATACTGTACATTATTCTATGAAGTACTGAGGAAATGAGATACACAGAGGGTAAATGATTTGCCTCTCCTTACACAGAAAAGTAAAAATAATTCTCAGTTTCGAGTTGTTTCTCCTACACCACACTTCACTGATGGAGTGGTTCTTTTTAGCTCAGTGTAAAGATACTGGGAACATCTTAAAAATCTGTTTTTGGTCTGCCAAACCTTTAGTTTATACGATTTGTCACTGTAGTTCTCATGTCAAATTAAGATATGTTTTTCTGAGATTCCCACGGGCAATGTGTATATGTGAGATATGTATTTCAGTGAATTTCTGATACCTTCTAATTTTTCTAATATCTCTTAATTTTCCATCTGGAATGACTAAACATCAGGATAGAGGGAAGGACAAAGGGAACAGAACTTAGCAAACCTTCACGATAACTCTTCAAATTAGATATTTCGTTTCTATTTTTCTGCAAGGAAACTAAGTTTTGAAGAAGTTAAGCAATTCACCAAGTATTATACAACTATTAAGTGGTGATAATGGGATTAAAACTCAGTCCTTTTCACTGTAAAGCTTTGGTTGGTTTTGTTTTATTTTTTGATAATTATCCCTTAGGGTTTATATTTTTGAAATCGCCACTACATTATTGTAATCTTATGGTAGCCATTTATCCCACTAGCTTTTGTCTTTGGTTTAATTGCGTTCTAGATTACTTTTTTAAAAATAAAGAATCCTCCGAATCCCTTGTTTTTATCTCATATCTAAGTTCTGATAGAGAATATACCACACAAATTTCTTGATGGAAAACAATCTGGAGTCATTTTACTTGTTCATGTCAATAGAGATGACTGGGAAAATAAAGTGACTTCTTGCCTCTTTAGACACATAGATTAATCAAAACAAATTAACACTTACAATCATTAAATAGAAATAGCCATTCCCTTCTGCTTTTGGATAAGATTTCAGAAGGAACCCCTGAATTAAAATTTTTTTCCATATCCAATTTAGCTTCTCCAGCTATACCTGAATCTTAAAAGTATGAACCCAAGTAGAGCTACCCAGAACACCATGGCCATTTATCCACTGTTTAAAAGTCAAAATGCTCTTCAGAAGAAATTGCTCCTTCATATTATATAGGTGTAGCCTGAAAGACTAGCTTGTATTTCATTAGTGACAAATAGCATGGAAAGAATAATAAAAATGTGTATTTATTGTATCTTTCATAAGTATTTTGACTCATTTTGTTAAACCTAGGGTTAAATTTCATTTCATAAAATATTAGGAGGGAAAATATTATCTTTAAATGGATTCTCCATAATTTGGGCCACTATTTTGCAAGATGAAACATCTATATACAGAAAGCAATCTAACTGGTAAATAGTTCAATAAACGTTAGAAGTATAGAAGATGATATAGAAGACCTCAGTAAATTTCTCATTTTTCAGACTTGCGTTTTCTACTATAAATTGTCCTATCACTTCACCCTCACATGACTGAAACCCTTATCTCTTTAGTCCTTGAGCAAAGGTGTGATTTCTTTGGGACAGGACAATACTACCTAGCCTCTGAAAATTAGTGTCCACAACCCATACCATTTACATTGGTTATTACTTTTATCTGAACTAGGTTAAAACTCAGAGAATGAGCATTTTTTTTTTTTTTACCTCTTAAAAAAAGTCCACCATCAGCCAGTATATCCAAGGTCACCACTCTTGCTTTTGCATAATTCCATTTAGTCACCTTATTCTTTCTGAAATATACCTCAGGAAACTTGATTCTCATTCTTTTCTTACACACTTTTCATTTACATGCTTGTCTATACAAATTTATAATGGGTACATCATAATTTATCTTAGTTTATATAAAAGAAGCAACATGGATTTCTCAAATTTGCTAGGGAGCTAATAAACTCTCAATGTAACAACAACAGCAAAAAACCCAACAACATACAAATGCCCATTTTGACTGAAAATGGAAAACATGAAATCTGTCTAGTTTGGTCTGTATAGCTATTATTTTGTTGCTAATTTTAAAATGGGTTGCAAACATTTATTTAATCTTATTGCGCCAATAGTTTTTTAGAGAGGGACTATAAATCAAAGTTGGCATAGTGCATCATGATACAAATTGATACAGAAACTTGCAAACAATGTATTTTTTTGATTTGTGTTAAGTGTACTATAATAATGAGAGGCTGTGCTAGCTCATATGGTGCAATCAATCATATGTTAGTACTTGGTAATGGTATTTATCTTCTCCCTGCAATCAGTGGATCCAGCTCAGAATAGCCTTTCCATATAAGTATTGTCGTCCCTTCAGGGCCCTGAAGCAGATGGCCTAGCACTTTATTTAAGTTTTACAAAAGTTAGATAGGAGGATGTACTCTGTTTAGAGCGGCAAGAAGCCTAATGCTTTATGCACCCTTCCATTCTCAGATAATACACAATCGGACCTTTGGTGTCCTGAGGGGATTTTATTCTCTTTTTATTTAAATACTCTAAGACGTCATTCTGTTAATCATTACTGAGTATTGCACTTAAGGAGGAAGTTGTTGGTTTGGAGGTTTTTATTGTTGTTTTTTTGAGATTAATAAAGCCTCTATGTATAATGGATGTTTTTTAATTTTTTTCTAATTTAGTGATGAATTGAACTGCTCACTACTAACCTGTCAAGCAGAAAGTTACCATTCTGTTTCTCTTCCTGTTGGTATATAGCCTACAGATGGTTTTGTTCCATTTTTCAACATGACGTTGGCATAACTGCCTCACATTAATGTTAAACTTTATAGATGTATCAAAGGTCATCTTTGCTAAAGCATGAAGAATAAAAACAAATTAGAAAAAAAAACATAATCTTTTCATCTATACCACATAGTAGACTGATTAATCTCATTACTAAACTCTGCTTTATTCAGAATTGTTTAACACTTTTAAAGCATTCCAGTGTATAAAATTAAAATTTCAAGTATCAATCTTTAGAAGATGGTTTGGTAAAATCTTACCATTCAGTTATTCATTAGATTTTTTATTTATCAACATTTATTGAATACGTACTATGAGCCAGGAACTTTGTTAGATGCTAAGAGGTAAAAAAAAAAAAAAATGGGAAAAGAGGGTAAAATGATAGAATAAAGGGGAAATAGGAAACTATTTCTTTGAATTTTTTTTTAGTCTAAATTGGCATCTTATCTAATGGATTTTGAGAGTCTTTTCTTCCCCCAAATTTTATTAATTTAAACCTAAAGCTGATATACTACAAGGATTCAGCAATGATTTGTTCTAAAAAGTGGCTGTTTCTAGATAGGGTTGTATACCCAGCAGATATTGTAACTTTTCTTTTTCTTCCTTGGATCTTACATAGTTCGGGATTATTGAAGCAAAGGGAATAAGAATATTTTATTGAACAGATTGACTAGCTTCTTAATAATTTTGAATTATCCAGGTAAATTATTTTGGAAGAAACAGACTTTATGCTTTGCTTCTAAAGAGGTTTTTTCTTTTTTCTTCTAAAAAGAAAATTCAGGTACACTAAAATATATTTACCTGTTTTTTGTTACAGTATCAATTCTACTTTTATAAGTATACTCAATCAAATAAAGAATATTAGAAGGACAAATAATTTTGTAATTCAGGTTCTTTAAGTTCTTTTAAAGCTCTGGAATTCTGTATTTCTTTATAGACATTAGCATATTTGGTAGTACTGGGGACTCAGGAGAATGAGAGCTTGTTTTGTAAGCTAGTTCTTCACATAAGTAATTTTAAAAATCTGACATCACTTTAAAAATTCATAGCATTAGAAAATGCAGATCCTGATAGATTGTATAACAGTTTCACATTTTAATACAGAAGCTTACTTATTAATTTTCTTCCATTTAAAAGGATCTCTTCATAGATCAAGTGAAAACTTCAGTGTTTACATAGCATTGCATCTGCCACTCTTGACATGCACCTTTTGAAATGTAGGAGTAAAGTTCTACAAATATAAAATAGCTGCATAATCAAGTTTTCATATTGCTATCAAACTGTTTTTGAGATCAAGTGTCAAAACTGAAATTATAAGTGATTTTTTTGAGACAGTCAATTTCATTCAGAATGGCACATTCTTTTCTCCCAGAAAATAACTTTCCTTTCTCTTCCCAAAACAATAATAGGCAAATTATACTCAATTCACATTGACATTTCTTCAGATACACTTTAGTCGCGTAGGTACCTGAGAATGTCAACCTTTGGAACTTCTGAAAATTAACTATCGCTTTTTGTGGGTTTGAAAATCATCCTCTCAATGGCCTTTCTCATGATAGATTACTTTATCATTCCTTGTAGAATCATCAGGAAATTATATGCTGAAATAATGTATCCTTCTAGTTTTAATTTCTATCATTCATAAGTACTAATCTAAGGAATTCTTGTAAGGAAATATGGACTTCTTATATAATTCCTTCAGAGAGCATTTCTTTTGATAACATTCATATATTCATCCTATGAATAGAATATTTTGAATAAAGAGCTTGGAATCTCCCTGGTTCTTTATTGATAAAATGAGAATAAACTGTATCTGATTCAGAGTATTGTCTATTAGCAGAAAATGAGGTAATAGCTAAAGTAGTTAGTATTTTGCCTAACATATAGTAGGCAATCATTAAATGTAAATTTTTATTCCACTGTGCTGATTTGTAGTTCATCATGGTTGGTGAAGATAGAGATGGTGATGTTTGATAAAATGTTGATAAATTTTAGTATTGTTGAAGAAAAAGGGACCACACATATAATAAAATTTAGTTAATATTATGTGAAAACTGGTAAAATTTTCCATTGCCTTTTAAATCAAAATTCCTGTCTGCACAGTATAAAATTTTTAAAATATGGGAAGACGTTGATTAGCAATATTAATATTAATTAACTTTAAAAGGTGTCAGGTTAAAGTTAGACCTTAAAATGGAGTTGATAGGACACTGTTTAATTCTTTGCAAGTAGATGACAGAGAATTAAAAAGCGACCTGTCTTTGCCAGACAGAGTTTTTGGTGACCAGTGAAATGACACAGACTAAAGGAAAAAGACTGCATTGTAAATGGAGAAAAACCATTTTTTATGGTACATTAAGAATTGATTAATCACCCAGAAATCTAGGATATTACACTGGATCCAGCTGATAGCAGATATTATTTCATTTTCAGAAAGTCTCTATTTCATAAAGATCAAAAAGAAAAGAGGATAATTTGTAAATCTAACATACACTACAAAGAAGAATAATATGCAATTAGTCCAGTAAGAAAGAAAGAAAATTTATATCTGTGAATTACCTTTTTCTCTTTCATTTTTCTGTAGTAATTCCTTGGATCAAAACTAAGATATGCTCACTGCTGCCCAAAATTTATCTTGCACCAAATGTTTTGTTTCTGTTGCTTTAAGAATCTATTCAAACCGATAGCATGTTAATCGCACAGGCCTCATTGATTTAAAAGGACACCATTAAGCACAAACGGCTTTAGTAAAGATGACCTCAAAACTGAAATTATTTTGGTTACTTTTATTCTAATTCCATTCAGAACAGATGTATGTTATAAAAATATTATTTCATTCTTATTACTTCTACACCATGACTAAATCTAAGTCTGGAGTTAGGAGGTGGCGGAAGAAGGAAATAGAAATTATACTTCTTTGAGTTTGGCAAATAATCGTATGCAAAACTAAACTCATTTATGTAAAGAACATTACGTTTCTTCCTTCACTCATCCTGATTCAGAATATATTAAACAACAGAATTTTTCATCTTTATGTAGACCACAATTGTCAAGACCACAATTATATACTATATTCGTCTAACAGCTAGTACTTCGTTTAATCTATTTTTTACCAAGAAAAACATGTGAGTTAACACTAATAGTTATAATAAATAATTATGGAAAGTCCTAAAAAATAATATTGCCTCTTGCTCTTTTTATTTTCATCATTTAAAAGCCTTATTTTTCATTGCTAAGAAAAATATATATTACACTCACATTGCAACTGTTTTCCTAGGTACTCGGTAATAGATACTTGAAATTCATTAATGAATAATAAAGTATAGTAGCAACATCTTTTGTGACTTTTTTAATGTTTTGATTACACCTATATTTTTCTAAAGTGTTCACCATAATAGCTTATAAACTTATTAATAAACATTTAAAGCTGTGGGCCCCAACCCTTTAGGAACCAGGCCACACAGCAGGAGGTGAGCAGCAGGGAAGTTTCATGTGTGTTTATAGCCGCTCCCCATAGCTCGCATCACTGTCTGAGCTCTACCTCCTGTCAGATCAGTGGTGGTATTAGATTCTGCGTTATGGTGAGTTGTATAATTATTTCATCACATATTGCAATGTAATAATAATAGAAATAAAGTGCACAATCAATGGACTGTGCTTGAATCATCCTGAAACCATCCCCTCCACCCGTGGTCCATGGAAAAATTGTCTTCCATGAAACCCGTCCCTGGTACCAACAACTTTGGGGACCACTGATTTAAAGCACAGTCAGGAACTACAAATGAATTGATCATTTTAAAGAAAATGTGTTGTTTTTATTCAGATATGGGCTAAACATTAAGCCAATGTATTCCAGTAACAGAATCCCTAACATGTCCAGGTAACAACTCATAAATGGTTTTGTGTTTTTGTTACTATATTAGAGTATTTCTAATTCTTCCAATTCTTATATTATAGGAAATAAACGATGTGGACGTACAAGAACTTGTAAGAAGGTCAATTGGAAGGTTAACGATCATTCGGCAGACATTTCCAGTCCCCCAGAATATAAGTCAGCGATGTTTCCGTGGCAACCATCGAATATCTTCAACACTGTGTGATCCAAAGGATCCATTTGCTCAGAACATGGAGGTATATTCTAAATGCTAGTATATTTCGTCCAGGGTGCTTTGTTGGGCGATTACAAAAAGAGCTTTTTGAGTTGCATTGGATTCAGAATTATATGTATTATCATTTCTGAACAATTCTCTCCAAAAATTATTAAATCTCATGGGGAGAAAGTGCTAAGAATTCATGTCTTTATTCCTTTTGATTTCATTATAGAAAAATATCTGCTTGTTTAACAAAAATATAATAAGAAAGAGTTATTTCCTTCTAAACAAGTAGGTCTATAGCATTTCCCATGGGAGAATTCGTAATTGATACTCCTAATGCCAAACCTCAAATTATTAAGCTAATAAATTTGCTTGGCTTTTCTGGCACAAAAAAGACATGGATGTTTATTTTATTTTTTTAATAAAAAATATCAGTCTCCAGTTTTAATAACTTCAACAAAAAACTACTTAGAGACGCTTGAAGCTCTGACTCAGGTGGGGCAAAGGCAATATACGTAACCTAAACATTTGTACCCACGTAATATGCTGACAAAAAAGAAAAATTTTAAAAAAATGCAAAAAAGTGCTATAATGTTATATAGTAATATCCCACACTAATAGGATATAGCTGAAAACTTCACCATCCAGAATACAACAAAGAATTTGAAAGTAAATAAATTAAATCTCTGAACAGCAAAACAGAGAACACCAAATCCCTGTAGCTTACTCATAAGAATTCCCTTTAAATACTCACTTGAAGCCTATTTCTTTTTTCTGAAGGAAAATCTTATCAGACTTTTTTTTCTTTACACTGGAGATCTCAATAAGTCAATTTGAAGGGTGTGTTACGAAAAGCGGGCACACTGACAACAGCAGGGAGCCATAGGCAGCGCTCCCTAGCAAGGCAAGAGACAGGAAAAAAGGAATCGGATACACTACCTCATATATCCTACCATTGTAGGACTTTCCTTGTAAAAACAAATCTGTGTTATTAAGCAGTTTCTAAAGGTATCACTGTAATATAACATTAGCATATAAGTTAATATTTAAATAATAACTCTGAGATATCAGCAAAGTTAATGTCATGCCAATTTTAGAAGTCAGAAAAACATGATGCACTTAGAAATCTATTCTTTGAAGTGTTTACCATGGAAAACATTTTAGTACTTAGAGACATTCGGTTTTAACAGTTTAGAGATGTAACCCTAGGAAAACTAGTTCATCTCCAATAATACTAGATAAATAAGATGATTTTGAAAGACTACTCCTTCTTTTGAAAAATAACCCACATCCTCCCTATCCTTAGTCACCTTTCAATATTTTTAGATGAGTTGCCATTTATCCAATCATTTTCCCCATTCTCATATCATGGTAATGAGCAGCCTGGCTCTAGGATCCTTGCCCTGCAACTTTCTGTTCCGTACTGGATTTTAAGCTCCTTTACAAATAGGTACCTTCCAGGAATCTGGCATCATAAAATTCCATAATGTACTCCTCTATCATTTTCTCCATCATGCCCACCACAGTGCTTTGCACCTTTGTGAATGTTGGTAGGTTTGAACGTAGTTAAGGGGAAAGTAATGGTTAGAGTAAGCCTCTCTGAAGGCTTAACAAGACCTGTTTAAATTTTAGTGCCACCCTTATTGATACGCTTATAATGGCTCATCTTTGCATATTAACTGGTCATGAGTATAATTGATGTAAAAATGATAGAATTTTAAATAAAGAGAAACACGAAAGAATTCTGATTTAGAAAATTGTGAAATATTAAAGGCAGTTTCTGTCAAAAGAAGTAGCAGGAAAAGAAGTAGGAACTTAAAAAAAATTATTTACTATGTCAGTTAGGGAAAACGAAGTATTTTAGAGCACATTTGACTAACAACATAATATTTCCATTTCAATTAATGAGGTCCTAGATATCAGGGAACAAATATTTTATTTCTCCCTGTATTTCCAAATTTAACTGCTAGATTAGGCTGTGCAGAAGCACCACCTTCTGAACCCACACCTTCATTTTATTCTCCCCAAAGCCCCAGATGGAAGAAAACAGGACAATAAGCTTTTCTTTGAGAATTTGTTAACTTTCCTCTTATGTGTGATAGAATTTGACTATTTAATATGTAAAATGAAAACTGACAGAAACTTCTATATGTGATGATTTATATAATTAAGAATCGCAAAGCAGGGCTCTTGAATTTAAAATGTTCCACTAAAAGCAGAACTGTTGACATACAGCCTCTCGTTGGTGAAAATTTTTTTTCATGCTGAAGTTAGAGAAAGGAACAAAATAAAATACTACTTTGGATTAAATTCTGATCAACAGGATACTGCTGACTGATAATTTAGGAATAGGAGGTTCCCTAGGAGAAGTAATTCTCTCACTGTGAAGTCTATAAAACAATGCAAGTAAATATGACCACAGACGGGCTTATACCTTAGAATTCAGAAGGGTGCAATTAAAGTAATTTCAGAAAACAAACAAGTATACAAATATGACTCAAGTCAACTTTCAAAATAGAAACCTAACATAAAATCACATCAGTCGATATGAGGGAAGGTAAAGAGGGTACATGAGCCTGTGTCGAAATCGCTGGGCTGTTACCTAGTTTAATGTACACAGTACACAGAAAATGAAGTAAAATTTAGGAAAAAAAAAACAGAAAAAAGTTTCACAAATCTTTAAATTAGTGCCAGAAAAACTAAAATTCAGGATTATCTGAAGTTTCAAAATAAATATTAAAGAATACCTTTTAATTAGAAAGCAGAGTTTTTAGCTATGTATGAAACAAGAAGGAAGTGATTCCTTTACTGCATGGGGACACTAATGTTAGCTTGGCTGCTCATGGAGAGAAAACAGAAACATTCAAATCCATTTGCTTCTGCTTTCTCCATCTAATGGGAATTGTCTTCGAATTGGAAAGGTTAGAATAAAAGTCATTAAAAGAAAGTAAACCACTGGTTTAAAAGGAACAGGGATTTGGAGATGGTAAGAGTCTGCCTAAATGCTTTGAATTAGGCCTAACAAATAATTGCTCAGAACAGCCAATCGACCAGCAGATCTGATCACAATATTATAGTTTAGAAATACTAGAGAAATACTTAGGGAGAAAAACCACAGTACCAGAGATTGGTATATTGTACCAGTTTTCGAAAGGAAGAAGAAAAGATTCTGACAATCATAGTTTAATATATTAAACGTTAATATTTAGATAAACTACAGACTATATTATTAAATAAATGTTTTGAGGTATTTCAAATAACCCAATGGAGCTTCCTTAAGAACAAATATTGACAAACTAGGCCCTTATTTACAGGTTTTTTAAATTGGGAGAATGTCATAAAGCTATATATTGTATGTTGATTTTTATATGGTGTTTAACAAATTTTCTTATGAAATCCTTAGGAAACATATTGAAAAGTCTAGATAGAATGATGCCACTCAAACATGTTCACCAAAGGGCTCCTAAGGGCAAACACTCTGTGCTGGGCATGGTGGCTCACGCCTGTAATCCTAGCATTCTGGGAGGCTGAGGCAGGAGGGTTGCTTGAGGTCAGGAGTTCAAGACCAGCCTGAGCAAGAGCTAGACCCTGTCTCTACTATAAATCGAAAAAATTAGCTGGGCATGATGGTGCTCGCCTATAGTCCCAGTTACTTAGGAGGCTAAGGCAAGAGGATCACTTAAGCCCAGGAGTTTGAGGTTGCTGTGAGCTAGGCTGACACCAGGATATTCTACCCAGTGGGACAGAGTGAGACTCTGTCTCAAAAAAAAAAAAAAAAAAAAAGATAGTAAATACTCTGGCCTCAGATAGGGAAAAAAAAAGCTCAAAATATTTTATCTCATTATTACTTTTAAAAGTTATAACATATATGTTATTATAAAATTAAAAGTGGTATTTCAAATAATTTGCCAATTAAGCTATTTGTTTTTCTCCAAAACTTTAAACAAACTTGGTAGCTAAATGTACCACTCAAATTTTCAAGTAATATCGATATCCTTAGAATAGGTCTTAAATATATTTTGTGGCTTTGAGTACTTCCTGATACCTACAACCGACTACCAGGGGTTCTTTTATCCTCAGTTTGAAAAGTGTGGAACCAGAAGAATATTCAAACTGCACTGATAAATATTCTACTCTTGAAATGCAAGTAATCTTAATCATCCACAAGATTCTGTCCTTGGACCCATTATTTTCAAAATGATTATCAGTACATGAATGAAAATGCATAAAATATGACTATCAAATTTCTAAATGACACAAAACTAATAGAGGAGGCTTATGTTACGTTACATAATCAAGATCCAAGTTGTTAATATTGACTGAATAATAAGCCTAAAAGTTGAAATTTTACAGAGATAAAGTATAGGTTTAAAATCAATTATGTGAAGTCTAGATTGAAGATTCCTGGTTTATCAGCTGTTCAAAGCTGTTAAGTTGAAGGCAAATTCAGTATGAGCAGAGCACAACTCATATTTGCTCTAAACCATTTTAACAAAATCTTGTTCTCTATGTCAGAAGAATTTTGCTATGATCAAGAGATAAAATGACTTTATACTACTCTCTCCTAGTCATATCACATCTGCAATAATGTGTCAATTCTGGCTACTAAATTTTTTAACAGAAACATGGAAAAACAAGAGAAAGATAGAGGAAGAGAACTAAGATGATGAGTAGCCTACAAACCACACCAGACGGTGAACAACTGAAAGAAAGGGAATGCTGCAGGGAAAGCAATAGATGGTATCAAACACTGGACGGCTGTTGCATAGAGAAAATAGGTGCTGGAGGGTCAGTGAGGTCAAAGAATAAGTGTAGTGACTGCAAGGTGGAGAGAAATGATTGGTCAGGTGTGGGATACTGGAGTTTAAGATTTTAGAGATGTATGTTTGTTTCCAGTGAATAATCATTTGTGATGGTTGTGGCTAAAGCAGACGTGAAAATCGTCTGTGTAGAAATTGGAGTGACCTTTTTAAATGCCGAGAGATAGTTTGGGATCACAGTGCGGCAGGAGTCAAAGAACTCACTAATAAGGAATGACCAACGGGTCAGTCAGTGATGGCAGGAGGGAGCAATAAAGTGTAGCCCAGGAAAGACCATGAACTGCAAAGGAAAATGAGTACTTGCCTGAGAAAGACGTAACAGAGACTAGAAGAGGTTAGAAGGGGTAATGTAAAGCTCAGACGATGTCACCACCACTTCTTGATCCTGCAGTTTGGAATGTGGACAGATGAGGAGAGGCTGCGAAAACACCTATCACACAGGGGGTACAGAGAATTCACCTTTAAGACCAGCATAGATGCTCAAAGTGCATGCCTCAAGGTATGCAAAAAATAAATAAATAAAATAAAGTGTCACAGAAGTGTCAGATTTGGATAGAACCAAGTTTGCCAGATTCCTCATGTCTTGACTTCTATCCAACACACGTGGCTTTAAACTTAACTTTCTATTTTCCTTTCTTCCCATTCTTTGTCTTCTTTTATTCAATGCCTGTTTATCAAAAAACAAATATGTGCTAGGCCTTATGCTAAGTCAAAGGAAAATAAAGCACAAGAGGGAAAAAGATGTATAATATAAGTCCCTGTCCAGAAGGAATTCATATTCTAGTATGAAAGGCAGATTAAAAAAAATCTTAGCATTATAACATGTTTCAATAAGGTAAGCACTGAGGTCCTAGGAGGTAAAAGAGGACTGTTCAATGTAGCCCAGGATGGGGAGAGAAGATGAGAAGTAGTCAGGGTAGGATTCTCCTAGCACATAACCTTTGCACTAAATATTGAAAAATGTTACCTAGTTGGAGAAAGGTAAAGAGCTATCAAAGGAAGCTACCCTGCCAGTCTCTAATACACACTTAAAGCAATCAGTAGGAGGGAAAAGCAAAATAAAGCTAGAAAGATAAGAGGAAGCAAGTTTGAGACAGTGGAGCCAGGAGAGGTTAGAAAAGGCCAGATAATTGCATATCATTTTGAGAAGTCTATTAAAACATGTTCCCTGGATTGTTGGGTACAGCCCTTTCATCCATCATGTTTCTTCTATATTTTCCTGTTGGGTCATCACAATCCAATTCCAACTTGAATTTTGATTCATGGGCTACTTTTAACTTCCAGTCTCACGCTTTATTCACAATAGCAGGTTTAAGCTATTCTTTTCTAGTCTGTGTAGTAATTATTTGGCAGGATGGGGTAAGGGTGTGGTGGGGTGAAAATAGCCAGCCCTAATAATTCCTTGTAAAGAACAAACTTATATTTCACATAATAATGAGTGTGCAAAGTTTCTTCCAAAAAAGACCTAACTTCCATGAGTATTATACATATAAAATGATGCTTAACAAACCCAAAGGATTAAAGATTTACATGATACGTGAAAGAAAACTCACAAGGCACTGTTAGGAAGCTCTTATTAACAGCTGTGCATAGCATCAAACTCTAATTAGACCAATACTTGAAGCTTAGTACCATCCTCTGATGTGGGCAGACTATTTTTAAAATTTCCCACATGATTAATTATAACCAAAGGACAATCCACATACTCTTCCCTTTGTTTAGTAGGAAAAACTGCAATAACACATTTCTAAAAACCTGAGAAAATCTCAACACTTTAGGATGGAATTAATTGCTACATTGATTTCTAATTCTTTATTTTATATTGGGTTTTTCCTTCTAAGAGGTAATAATATAACATTTAACAATTTTTATTGACCTAGGATGCCTTTCGGTGTTGTTTTCTGAATAATTTTTAATTTCTTTGAAAAATAAGCACCTTTGGTAATTAGTTGACAGCATGGATAGTAGCTCTGGCAAGACTTAACTGTAAGAGTGCAATAGATCTTAGCAAAAAAAGTCTATAATTCATTTTTCCATCTAAGTAGAAAGAAGATAATAATATGGCTACCTTAGAAGAAGAAAGTGTTAATGTGAGCATACATTCACAGAGAATTAATAATTTATGATATTTGCCACATCCATGAATTGCAATGCATGTGTATGCCTATATAACTTTGTATGGATCCTTGATCACTGTATATAATATTTATGAATGGTTCTGTTGTTTCATTTTTTCATTATAGAATCCCCATAGACACAAATGTACACACATGGCTGCTTCTTTTTTATGCACCTGTAACACTCATATATAAGATGGAGTTGATATTTCTCCATCTGAATAACTAGAATGCAAGAACTTGACATAGTCAGAAATGATATTATTCAGTTTGCCCTTCCAATCTTGAATTCTTAGTTCCTTACCTCCTCAGAAAGAAAGAAAGGCCAATGATATTCTGAGGTCTGACACTAACACCCTTATCTCTGTCGAAACTTTTCTTTTTTTATCTTCTCTTTCATACCTAAATAAACTGAAAAGGCAATTGAGGCATACAATCAGACAAGACTTCATCCTCAGTGGCAAAATTGTTCAGGAAATGACAAAAGAAACTTTCTGCTTAATAAATAACTCAGTAAACCAGGCATCTATGACATGAACAGAAGCAATGGAGCCGATGATTTTCTCCTTATTCTTGATGGCTGGCATCAATGATTTTAATGATCACTGTCTAATGTCTTTTCAGATTTCAAACCTTTACATATATGACACAGTGCTTCTGCTTGCTAATGCTTTTCATAAGAAGCTGGAGGACCGAAAGTGGCACAGCATGGCAAGTTTGTCATGTATCAGAAAGAACTCGAAGCCTTGGCAGGGAGGGCGTTCCATGTTGGAGACCATCAAGAAGGTAACCTCTGATAAGCATTTTACTCTTCTTAATTTTCATGTGAAAAGGATACAATAAATCATTGTTTGATGAGATATCTTTTAGAAGAATTCTTTTCTTCACTACTATTGCTGCCAATATAAAGCACAAAACAGTGCAGTGGAAAAATAAAATATTAAAAAAGAAAAACGTCAGAGGGTCACAAACATATATAAAAAAGGGGGACCTTTATTTAATTGTAAGGGAATTTTATGCAAGTAAAAAATTGGTGGTTGAGATATTTTAAATTGCCTTGGCTATGTCATTAGCATTAGAGATACTCAAATTATTTGGGTTCCTATCACAAAGTACAAAAACTATTTTTTTAAAAACCACACCATCAACTAGAAAAATTAACAGTAAACTTAGCATTTTTTTCCATTTAGATGATACATAGGAAAACGTTGGATGTGATGACCCTTAATTTATCTTTCCATAAAGATATTATTCACAAATAGCTAATATGTTGCAGCATTTTGAACTATGTTAGATACTTGATTGCATTATTCTTCTTCACTGCCAATATGTTCCTTAGCCTCGCTGTGATCTTTTTGGCTTAGCTACCTGTTCCATTCCCAGAAGGCAGTTTATGTTGTTTAGCTCCTCTCAGTGGTATAAGAATTCTGCAGTTTATTAGCCTCTTTGTCATGTCATCCTTTCTGACACTTTTCGTTTGTCTTGCACAGCTTCTTGGATTTAAAATGGAATGATTAACAAAATAAACAAATCTCCTGTACCCTTTACATAAAGGAGACAGGCATTTGGAAGTTTACATTTTTTTTTCTTTTACCTGTCCCTTTCCTTTCTGCATATGTTTGCCTTTAACTCCCAAAACACAAAGAAAAATAGCTAGTCAAATGAAATGTGAATGCATTTAGAAAAGTCAGAGAAAAAACCTAAAAATTTGATATTAGCAGTGAATTAGATATTAAAAAAAAACCCAGGAAGTTGTAGAAAGATACATTTCAAGTGGAGAATAGCTTGAATCTTTCTCTGGGCACTTGTCTTAGTCCCTTTTCTGCTGCTCTAACAGAATACCACAGATTGGGAAATTTATAAAGAGCAGAAGTGTTTTGGCTCATGGTTCTGGGGGCTGGGAAGTCCAAGACTGTGGTGCCAGCATCTGGCGAAGGTCATCCCATGGCAGAAGGATATCACATGGCAAGCAAGCCAAGAGAGAAAAAAGGGGGTTGAAATTCCTTTATAACTAATCCACTGCCATCTTAAGGGCATTAATCCATTCATGGGGGTGGAGCTCTCATGGCCCAATCAACTCTTAAAGGTCCCATCTCTTAATACCATTAGAAAGGCAATTAAATTTCAACATGAATTTTGGAAGGGATGTTAAAATTATAGCATTCCACCCCTTCTACCCCAAAAATACTGATGTCCCTCTCACATATAAAATAAATTCATTTCTTCTAGGTAGTCCAAAAAGTTTGAACTTGCATCAGCATCTACTCAAACGTCCAAATTCTAGAGTCTCAACTAAATCAGATATGAGTGAGACCTAAAGCACAATTCATCATGATGCAAATTGTTTCTAGCTATGAGCTTCTGAAATAAAAACAGGTTATCTACTTCCAAACTATAGTGTTGGGACAGGCACAGAACAGACATTCCTATTCCAAAAGAAAAATACAGGCAAGAAAAGAAGGATAACTGGTCCCAAGTAAGATCAAAACCCAACAGAAAAAAATAACATTAAGTCTTAGAGAATTATATCCTTTGACCTCATGCCCTGGTTCCTGGGTACATTAGAGCAGGGACTGAGCCTCTAAGCCCTCAGGCAGCCCCTCCTCCAAGGTTTTGCTGGACTCAGCCTATGCAGTTTTCACAGGCTGCAGTTACATGCTGATGGTCCTACAGTTCTGTGGTCTTGAGGTGGCCTTATTTCCATGAATCTGGTACGCACTGCCCTAGTGGAAACTCTGTGATCCCACATTTCTTCTTAGCATTGTCCTAGTAGGGGGTCTCTATAGTGGCTTCACCCTGGAAACAAGTGTCTTCCTGGGCTCCCTGACATATCATAATATCCTTTGAAATCTAAGTGGAGGGAGCCATACCCCCATAGTTCTTTCATTCTGTGTACTGCAGAGTTAGCACCACGTGGATGCTGCCAAGGCTTACTGCTTGCACCCTCTGAAGTGGTATCCCAAGCCACACCTGGGCCCACTTGAGCAGCCTGGGAAAGCTGAGGAATGCTACACTGAAATGCTACAAGCAGAGTCCTGAGGTGGCCTTGGACAGTGAGCCCATGGAGAGCACCCTAGACCTACGCCCTGAAACCATTCTGCCCTCCTAGAGCTCCGAGCCTGAGATGGCAGGGGCAGTCTCAAAGATTTTGAAATGCCTTCGGGATCTTTCTTCCACTGTCTTGACAAATAGCACATGGCTCCCTTCTACTCATATGAATCCTTTCGCAAACAGTTCCTTGGCGGCACCCTTGCTATTTCTCTCCTGAACATGCTTTTTCACTCCTTCCATAGCGAGGCTGCAAATTTTTCAAATCTTTCCATCTGTTTCTCTTTAAATTATAAATTCTATTTTTAAATCATTTCTTTTCTTACATATTTTACTGTATGTGTTTAAAAGTAGCCACACAGCAGCCTGAATGCTCTGCTGCTTGAAATGTATTCAGCCAGATATCCTAGCTCATTGCCCTTAAGGTCTGCATTCATTAAAGTCCTACGACATGGACACAATTCAGCCAAGGTCTTTGCTACTTTATAACAAGGATGGCCTTTACTTTAATTTTTAATACCTGATTTCTCATTTCTGTCTGAGATCTCATCAGAATGACCTTTACTGTCCATATTTCTATCAATGTTCTATTCAAAATCAATTAAGTAAACTCTAAGAAGTTCCAGACTTTCTCTGTAGCTCTTCCGTTCTGAGCCCTCTCCAGAATTGCCCCTAATGCTCCATTCACATCCTACAGTCTTTATGCAACCTACTCCTCCAAATTCTTCTAGCCTCTACCCATTACTCAGTTTCAAAACCACTCCACATTTTAAGGTAGTTGTTACACCAACAGCCTCATTACTAGCTATTGATTTTGTCTCTTAGTTCATTTTCTCCTGCTAGAATACCACAGACTGGGTAATTTATAAAGAACAGAAGTTTATTTGGCACATGGTTCTGGAGGCTGGGAAGTCTACCAGCATTGTGCCAGCACCTGGTGAGGGTCATCCCGGGGCACAAGGACATCACATGGAAAGAAAACACACAAGAGAGAAAGAAAAAGGGGGAAAAACTCTAATGATAGCAAGGCCACTTCTGTGATAATGGCATGAATGCATTCATGGGGGCAGAGCCCTCATGACATAAGCACCTCTTAACGGTCCCACCTCTTCATACCATTATCATGGCGGTTAAATTTCAACATGAGTTTTGGAGGGGACTTTCAAAAACCATAGCAGTACCATTTCCTCTTTGTAAAAGAATCACCTTAATGAGAATTTAGGATATTATCAACACAAGTACTTGAGAATTAAATGTATTGACTATATTGGCAGAGAAAGATTTTCAGCTGAAAATGAATAACTCAAATCTATACTCAAGGTGTTGCCAAAATCTTCCAGCTTTATCTATGTAGAGAGCTGGCAGGTGTGAATCCAAGGGAGGTTGTTGAACATGATTCTGATACTGCCAATTTATTAATTTATGGTTTGGCTAGGACGCAGGCACCTGAATATATTTATTCTTCTGAAGCTTTCATACAAATACAGAATAATAGTTTAGAAGGTTGCTTAGGAGACATTTATTTAGTGAGGGTATTTATTTAGTAGAGTAGAAAGGAAAGAGACATCATAATATATCAGTATTTCTCATGGAGCAATTCAATATATAAAATGCTGCTCTTAGAATGTCTATAATCAATGGGAACAGAGCAAGATGGCTAAATAGAAACCTCCCGTGATCATCCCGCTGCACAAACACCAAACTCAACAACTATCCACACAAGGAAGCACCTTCAGAAAAACCCAAAAAATCAGGTGAGCAACCATACTATCTGCTTTTAACATTATGTCAAGGAAGGAGATACTGAGGAGGGAAGACAAGACAGTCTTATGTTGCCTACACCAGCCCTCCTCCATTCCCTGGCAGTGCCACACTTGCACGCCCAGTGGAGAGAGAAGCTCTGTGCCTGGGGAAGGGAGAGTGAAGTGACTGAAATCCAGGGTCTCCCTGGCACAGGGGAATACAGCACAGGGCAGAATTTGGCTAGTGCCCATGGAGGGAGCATTACACCAGTGCAGTCAGAGAGAAACTGTCTACCCCAAAACTTGAGTTCCCTCTAGCCCCACCACTGGCTGCCAAAAAGCAGCCTGGAAACTAGACTAAATTCGTAAAGCAGTTGAGCCACAAAGGCTGCAGTCCTTGGGCAATTCCTGTGGCTATGCTGGGTCAGAGCCAGTGGACTTGGGGTGCACATGACCCAGTGAAACACCAACAGTAGTGGGCAAGCGAGTGCTTGTGTCACAACACTGCGGCTTGCTCCTCCCAGCAAGCGCCACCTACTGACAAGGAGTCAATTTGCATAACCTTTTACTGCATCTACTGACTCATCATACAGGGTGTGGTCGAATCTCACCCACGAACACCACCTACTGGCTCAGAGACTAAACAAGGAGTGTCATTATCCAAAGAAAATCTACAGGTAAGAAGCAACAGCTGATCCAGATGGGAAGGAATCAGGGAAAGAACTCTGGAAGTATGAAGAATCAAATGGAAAGCACAACCCTAAAGGGGAACACCAGCTCTCTAGCAATGGACAGCTACCAAATTTAGAACACTAAAATGACAGAAGAAGAATTTTGAACATGGATTGTAAGAAAACTCAATGATATGTAAGAGAAAATGGATAACCAACACAAAGAAACCACACACAAAAAATCCAGCACTTGGAAGAAAAATTCAGTAAAGAAATTGAAATATTAAAGAAAAATCAAACAGAACTTCTGGAAATGTAAAATTAA